TGTGTGTGTGTGTGTGTGTGTGTGTGTGTGTGTGTGTGTGTGTGGACAGGTTTTTTCCTACAACGTGGGGAAATTTTTCCCAAAAAAAAAGCAGCCTCGTGGGGACCGGGCATTGGTCCCCACGGGTCCAAATGCAAATTACGAGTGTGGGGTCCGGTTTAACTTCTTCCATCAGCTGTATTTGTTCACTAGGTGGCGCCAGTCATCCAGTCAACAAAAAGCTGTTGCTTCTGATTAAAGTATTTCATTACAGTAGAAATATATCAGGGGGAATTTTATTTTTTGAGACCTAATCATCTAAAAACATTATCTAAAATAAGGATCATTCTGAGYGAGATTTTGTTTTTGTTTCTGTTTAGGGAGAGTGTAACAAGGACTTCAATGATAACATATTTTATCTACCGTAATGGAAGTGCTATTAGACACGATGAGGTGGAATCCATGCTCTCTAAACGTGAACATTTTCACATACTACAAGGTCTTGGCCTCACAAACATTGTAAGTACCAACAGTTTTAGAAGTGTATTTCCTGGAAGCAAGACTCTCCAGTCTAAAGTTACATTACATTCTAACGTTCTCCAGATGATCTCATTCATGTGATGCATTTCTTACCTTTATTCCAGGGCACGGTTGAGGTTGCAACCAAACCTACAAGTCCAGTGCAGTATGTCCTGCTGGGGCTAGTCGCAGGCCTCGTTGTTGTGTTGGTCATTCTCACCACCTCACTGATGTGCACTCGCAGAAAGTAAGAAAGGAAAAACTAGCAGAAACACTGGACTGAACTTGAAAACTGTTGATCGGAGTGAGCGATCACTTCTGAGGGCATTGATTAGTCTGTGTGCTGATCAGCTTCTTTCACATTACAGCTATAGACGGAAGCTAAAAGCAGCCAAAGCCATGAACACTGCATCTGCAATGAACTCTGACAACCAGAAAGGAGGTGCGGTGGTACCTGGAACTAACAAGTACACCATGGAAGGGTGAGCGTGTTAACAAGATCATTGAACAAAAAGCCCACCTGATGCAAATGTTAAAAACTTTTAACTGATTTTTTCTTTTTTTGTTTTTGTTTTTATTTTATTTTTTGCCATTTTGTGTGACTTGTTAATCTCTGACAGTGCAAATCCGGTGCTCAACCTTGCTCTGGATATAGACAGGGAGAGCAGCTCTGACGTGGACAAAGCCAGGTAAAAATAAAAAAAAATTTAAAGCTCTATCAAGATTTTTTATGTAGCATAATAAACTGGGGCAACTTCCAATGCAACATATTATCAAAAAAATTTAATTTGCGCCACATTAACAATAATATGCATGTACTAAAAATGTATCCCATTTTCCTCTTTTTTCTTCATAGCCTCAACTCTCTGGACGACAATTATGACATGATCACCAATGACACAAATTATGACATGGTGAGTCTAAACGAACAACTTGTGGATTAGGTCAGGATTATGCTTTAAATTTAAAACATACTCYGCTCTACAGCATAGGATTGAGGAAGAGGAAGAAGATGACGGTCCACCAGAGTACAACGAGCCTCTGGGTGCAGCGCTGGCTCAGTTAGGCCCAAAGAAAACCCCCAAAACATCTGGCATTGGTTTTAACAACCCTATATTTGACACAACAGACCTGTGATGAAATGTGTCAKGAAAAAGGAAATAAAGACTGAAATACTCAGATGGTTGGAGACCAAGCAAACCAAATTATTTGTGTTATTCGAAAAGACTTTTTGTTCCGACCTATGATAGTGGCTCAAGATTTATGACGTGTGTCTCAAACAAATTAGATAATAAACCAACATAAGGATGGTTAGTTCATAAAGTATTAATTTTGCTCTGAGTTCGTGACATTTAGTTTGGCCTTTTGAACATTTGAAACACAAAGTTTGGCTGCTTTTAAACTTTATGCACAAAAAGCTATTCTAATTTGAATGTTTCTCATTGTTGAAATTGAAATTTTAATCGCACCTGACTGTAAACACAGGTTTAACCGGACAACTGAAGTGGCATGCATGTAAATACAACAGCGAAACATCGACCAATTACAAGCATTTCAACAAAAGTGTGAAAGCAAACAAAACAACTAGTACTTACACAGAGAATCACTTTATTTCTGCTAATTTATTAAGCAAATGTTAAAAATCATTTTGGGATCTTACTTGAAATGATCTGCATTATTAGTTATGTCAGCATATATTTCTAACTTCGATTGCAGCAGATGCTACTGAAGAGNTAATAATACATGAAATGTCAGTGTAAGTTTGAAATTCTTATTTATGGGCACACATCAACTAAAATCACTCACCAGTTGACTGCGTTTACCCGATTTCTTTGATGTATCCGCTGCTGAATAAAGACCTCATGCAAGAGTAATGTTGTGGCTTTTCTGCGAACCACATATTTGTTTACTGTGAACCAAATGAATGTATTAAAAGTGAAATCTATGATTAAAAATTGTTTCTTCAAATTTCCGTCTCTTTTAGTTCATCTGTTAACACAAACATTACGGGCACTGCAACAATCTCCAAATTAAAACACATTTAGAAACAATTTTCGGCACAAAATCTACAACTAAACCACATCTCATTGCATCAAAATACAGTAAGGAGAAAAGACCAAAAATAAAGCTGATGTCAGACGTTGCTTTTTTTTTTTTCCAGAAGATAATTGTGCGCATCATTTTTAAAGGGATGGTTTGGACAACTCCATTCTCCTAAATAACAAAGCAGTTTATTCAAACACTATTTTATGAACCTTGACATTGCTATCAGTTGGTTAGTTACAAGAACATTTTGTGGTTGTTTGCAAACAGCAGCTTTTATTAGTGAGCAAATTTCTGCTGCCCTAAAACACCTTTAACCTCCAAAATTTCACAGCAGTTTTGTACAAGCATTGTTTTACAAACAATTGCAAAGCTGCCAGTTTCATACTCCACCCTTGTTCCCAGAAATGCTCCAGCTAGCTGTCTTGTTGAAAATAAGTGCTGCCAACTCCTCAGAAAGGAAAAGAGCTGTTCTCACGACCCATGCTAGTGCGTGTTCCGCCATTTTATATGGCGCACTTTACTTGGCTGCTAGTGTTGTCTAACGCATTATAAATTAAAGCACAATTTTAATCAATGATAATGACTGAACCCAGCAACTGTGGGTCTGAAAATGTTATGAAGATGGACTGGAGACTTAAAATAGGTCGAGACATGAGGAGAAACACCTCTTGATTGGAYGGAAAAAATATGTACGAGCTTAAAAGAGTCCACAGACTGGAAATCACCACCTACAGTGACTTTTAAAGGCATTTGAATCGTCTTAAACAGGAGAAATATCTACAGTTTCAAAGAGTGTAAAGGTTGCTGGAAGCAATGACTCATCTAAGCTTTAAAGGGGCAATATCATGTAAAATCAACTTTTTTGAGTTTTATATCATGTTATAATGTTATACTCTCATAAAAAACATGCCCAAAGCCTTGCTTTGACTCATTCATCATGTTTGAGAAATCCTGCAGTGTTTTTATGAAGCCATGTGATAGAGTTTTATTGAATTTATTAAACTTCTTAAGGTGTTTCAAATAAAGTCTTGAGG